CCAAACAACGCGCTGCGCGGCAGCCAAGGAGCTGAAGTGCCAGGAGATCACTGTGCCCTTGTGCAAGGGAATTGGTTACAACTCCACCTACATGCCCAATCAATTTAACCACGACACGCAGGACGAGGCTGGTCTGGAGGTGCACCAGTTTTGGCCCCTTGTGGAGATAAAGTGCTCGGCGGACTTGCGCTTCTTCCTGTGCAGCATGTACACGCCGATCTGCCTGGAGGACTACAAGAAACCACTGCCCCCGTGCAGGAGCGTGTGTGAGCGCGCCAAGGCGGGCTGTGCGCCTCTGATGCGGCAATACGGCTTTCCTTGGCCGGATCGGATGAGGTGCGACCTGCTGCCCGAGCAGGGCGACCGGGATACCCTGTGCATGGACTACAACAGGAGCCAGTCCACTGCTGCGTCAGTCGCGGTGGCAAAGCCGACAAATCGACCCCTGAAGCCGTTCAACACAAGGAGAAAAAGCGGTTACGGCCGCGGCCTCCCTGGTCAGAACAAACCGGCGGCCCCCTCTCAGTGTGAGCCGGGCTGCTTCTGTCGTGAGCCCATGGTCCGGGTGACCAGTGACGCGCACCCGCTGCGCAACCGCGTGAAGACGGGCCAGATCCTGAACTGTGCCATGCCGTGCCACAACCCCTACTTTACGCAGGAGGAGAGGACGTTCACTGCGTTATGGATCGGCCTCTGGTCCCTGCTGTGCTTCATCTCCACCTTCGCTACAGTGGCGACATTTCTCATCGACATGGACAGGTTTAAATACCCGGAGCGGCCCATCATCTTCCTCTCTGCGTGTTACATGTTCGTGTCGGTCGGATACATCGTCAGGCTGATCGCCGGGCACCAGGAGGTGGCGTGCAACGGCGCGGGGCACATCCACTACGAAACCACGGGTCCGGCACTCTGCACCATCGTCTTCCTGCTCATCTACTTCTTCGGCATGGCCAGCTCCATCTGGTGGGTGATCCTGTCCCTCACCTGGTTCCTGGCCGCTGGTATGAAGTGGGGAAACGAAGCCATCGCCAGTTACGCGCAGTACTTTCACCTGGCCGCTTGGCTCATCCCCAGCATGAAGTCCATAGCAGCTTTGGCTCTAAGTTCCGTCGACGGCGACTCTGTGGCCGGGATATGCTACGTGGGGAACCAGAACCTGGACAACCTGCGTGGTTTTGTCCTGGCACCTCTGGTCCTCTACCTGTTCATTGGCACCATGTTCCTGCTGGCCGGCTTCGTGTCGCTCTTCAGGATCAGGAGCGTCATCATCAAACAAGGTGGCACCAAGACTGACAAACTGGAGAGGCTCATGATCCGAATCGGCATCTTCACAGTGCTGTACACGGTCCCGGCCACGGTCATAGTGGCGTGTTACTTCTACGAGCAACACAACCGGCAGATGTGGGAAATTACGCACAACTGCACGTGCGAGACGGACACGAGCCGCCAGAAACCGGACTACGCCGTGTTCATGCTCAAGTACTTAATGTGTCTCCTGGTTGGGATCACATCAGGGGCATGGATCTGGTCCGGGAAGACGGTGGAGTCCTGGAGGAACTTTTCCACACGGTGCTGTTGGAGCAACAAAACCTCAGTGGGATCCATGTACAGCGACGTAAACACTGGACTGACCTGGAGGTCCGGCACCGGGAGCTCGGTGTCCTTCCCTAAGCAGATGCCACTGTCAAGGGTTTGATCATCCACACTGTAAAACACACGAAAGTATTTAAATTTTGGTCAATCTTGCAGAAACTATTGTGGAGTTTTGTGTCATTGTTAAATAAGTTATGACGCGTTTTAATAATCCGAGATTTACTATGAAATATATATGGTCGTAAATACATGTGTGCGGACTATACTAGATAAAATATATGTAAAACATGTATTTTCCTATGTCAACTATAATGTGCTTCTCAAAGAGTATGTTAATATAAACAGTTTCTACAAGGCACATTACAGTACATACAGAAATATATATGTGTACTGTATATTTGAAGTATAATAACTATATCAATATAAATACTATTACTATATACATTACTAGTACTATTTATACTATATATTGCATATACATTTATTTATTTATATATATTTATACAGATCCATTAAGACACATTTAATCTTGTCATTATCAAAATGCGACCTAACTTATGTTATGACACAAAACTGCCTCAATATATTTGTAGTTATATTCCGAGCCTGCTGTTAAAACATCATTATTGTTAACCATCACTTTCCTGGTATAAGTTAGTGGAGACAATGTCTTCAGGTGATTCGAACCTCTACTTCCATATTAACATCTGTATGAACTACTAAAACACCAGTCGTCTGTCTGTAAACCTGAAAAACTGACTTTTTACAAACCCGCGTTCACTCATTAAAATGACGTCATTAACACTGCCTCACACATGGGTCACACACGAGTGTAACAAACTGTATTTATATAAATATTGGTTTATAGAAATGTGTAAATGTTTACATTGATTTTTTTACACAATTGTAAATATTGTATGTATCAACTGATTTTGACTGAAAGTTTTTTTTTTGGAAAATAAAATAGATATTTATCAAATATTTATTTGTGTATCCTGATAATTATCTCTAACATTTTTTTATTTCTAAATTATTGTTCAAAATGACCACAAATACTGGGTGAAATAATGAATAATTAAAATTGTAAACAAACCGTTTTCCTATTTTTTTTTTATTAAACTATTGTTAAGTCGTAATTATAAATTATAACATATTTTAAAGTTTTGGAGGCCTTTGTACTGCGGTGCACATGCCTCCGTTTTTTTAACCTTATCTCGGCATTTTCCATTGGGTATAAATTTATAAATGTATTTACCACCAGAAGTCTAAGTTATTTTTATAATGACGTCATTATTTGGTTAATAATTTAATCATAAAATAAATGTACATAATTACATTACACCGTCTTTAAAAACTTTAAAAAATAAATAAGAGAAAGTGGAGAAGAGAATGACTGACCGACTAACACACGAACGAAAAATTACCCACAAACCCTTGCCACAGCGTCAAAAAACGTAATGCTGTCACTTTCCAGTGGCCAAACTAATCTTAAAGATTCCGAATGAACTTAACATTTTTACCTTATTAATGCAAGTTTCCATTTTATTTTGTAGTTCGAGCTACATTTTTTGTTATAAAAACCTGATATAATTTACCAATATAATGTATATTTCAAGATAATTGTTATCACAAAACTCCAACTGATAAAATGTTAATATTATTTGTTTATTTGCTTCTTACTCTGCAATTCAGTTATCTTCCGGTCTGATGTACTCAAAATGACCACTAGAGGTCAGTAAGATACGTGCTACTCTCGACTCGATGAGAAATGATTAAATTCTGCATTTTAAAAATCAACATTTTAAAAAATAAATACTGAAACATCAGCAGTGGAGGTTTTGTGGGTGGGTTGTTTACGTTTATTCTGTAATATTCTTCTATAATCAACATTAGTCTTAGCTGTTTTTTGTTAAAAATTCAGTTTCCGATGCAACTGAAACGTTTCATCATCAAAACAGACTTTTTTGCACTTTGTTTAGAGGCTGTTTTGATGATGAAACGTTTCAGTTGCATCGGAAACTGGATTTTAAACAAAAAACAGCTAAGTCTAACTTTAAAAAATACAGAATAAACTTCAAAAAACAACCAACAAACAAGACAGTGAGGTGTGGACGCAGGTCAAGGCTGGGTTTGTCCAGCAGGCATGTAAGACGCCAGGGGTCGGGTCAGTTAGTCTATTGTTGCCGCCACTCAATAATCCAGACAACAGCTGAGCTCCATGACACATGGTGTTATCAAGGTCACACTGAGTTTGGTTTAGGGACAGAGGTGACCTGGACACACAGACGTCCACTCTACAACAGACCTGGACCATACACCTCCCCCTACACCTCTTTGAATTAATAATATGTTCTATATTTATTTGTAAATGTATAAGCAGGCGTTTCAGTGCACACAAAGTCTTAAGAAATGTCCTACTATCTGAAGAAATCACCAGAATTTTAAGAACAACCCCCCCCCCCCCCAAAAAAAAAAAAAAAGAGTATTCTATGTGTTCCATTGTAAAACCCTAGTAGTGATGGCAGCACGGCGTGTTTCCTCCACTACACCCACGCCCTCTTGTCCTGTGAGTCACTACTGTCTGAACTGGTTCCCACTGGGCTGCTCTGGTCCAGCTGTCTGACACCAGGGGGAGTTGGGACCCTCAGGTTCAGTGGTGGTGGTCTGCAGTCTGGGCGAGGGTACAGTGGAGGTTTCATGTGTCTGTGAAGGACAAAGGGAGTTGGCGCTGGACTCAGGGGAGACGGCGGAGGAGAGACATTTTCTTGTGTCTTCTCATTGGTGGATCCAGTAGACTTCAGTGCCGGGCCACTGGTATTAGACTGGTTATTTGGATGGTGTAGTTTTTCATCACCTGAACTCACACCTGGGCTCATTCTCCTACTTAACAGGCCGTCGTTGTCGTCGGTCGCGGTGGTAAACATGCTGTTCTGCTCTCCTTTGCTGATCTCCTGCGTCAGCCACTCCCGCTTCCTCCTCCATCTCACCATGGCCTTCATGGAGGTCACCATGTCGACCAGACTCACCAGAATAGACAGGAAGGTGACACCCAGCGTGAAGTTGAGCATCAACGTCTTTTCGGTCGGTTTGGAGACGTAGCATTCCACCCCTGACGTGCAGGGGGCTTCGTAACAGAGGAAACTCTTTGGGACAGACAAACCGAACAGAAAAAACTGACTTGCACCGAAGGCCATCTCCACAAGTAGACGTACAAATACTACGAGCAGGTACGAGCAGTGGAAGCCTGGTGACGTCCACTCCTGTGACGGGGCGTGAAGATGGGTCTTGGTTAAGGACAGCTCTCCAGTGTTCTCAGGAGAACCTCTGTGGCTCCTGTGTAGCTGCATTAGCTTATGCATGACGTAGGTTGCAAATAGCACATGTGGTAGACAGAGGAGGATGAGGTGCAACAACCAGAGACGGAGCAGGGACACCGGGGAAAAGACGTCAAAACACACGTTGGAGCAGCCTGGTTGGATGGTGTTACAGATGAATCTCTCCTGCTCGTCACTGAAGAGGGTGAAGCCAGCCAGCAGCTCCACCAACAGGCGCAAGAACAGCATCAACACCCACCAGGTTTTACCTGCAGTGATGAGAAGAACGTCACGAACTGTCCCAGGATGATTGTTAAAATTGTTAAACTTTTTAAGCAAAACTGTGAACTGTCTGACACAGAACCAACACGAACCTGATTTAATAAAACATTAAAGAAAAAAAAAGGGTTCCTTTTTGGAACACATTTGTGGTGGTACTGTGGTGTAAGTATTGAATACCTTTACATGGGTAGTTGTCCACAAGGAATATAAACAGGATACATCCATATAATTTCCACTTACCAGTAAAAGGCACACTCTGACTTAAGGTGATGAAGAGGAGATTGGTTGCTCCCATTGTTTCCAGTGGACTGGGTTGTTGTCTTCTTCAGCGCAGCTACAACCTGACTGCTGTGTCTTCCACAGCTCGTCACAATAAAAACAGTCACCTCTCATGCTCCGTGCAGGAAGCTATTCTTACCAGGCGGCCATCAAAGCATTGTTGGGATGACAAGGTCCAGGTCACACTAACTGGAAGTTTGTAGTCATTGCACATGTCAATCAAAGTGATGTCGATGCTGCAAGAATGAGCCTTACCTTATTAAAGAGACTTCCTGTTTGTTTAAGGTGTTGTTGACACACTTTTAACTGAAAAATATTAAATAACTGGTTAATTCAAGACAATGAAAAAAAATTGCTTAAAACAGTTAAATTAACTGTTAATGGAGATCTTGTTATATTGAAGCAAAACTGAGTTAATTACTTACATTTCACTTCTCAAATTAGGAATTATACAAAGAACAAATCTTTTCACTGCACGTTCAGAATCGTGAAAATGTGAAGAAATATTTTTAATACAGTATGTTCACTGGAATTCCTCTGCTCTTCTTAAAGTTCCGAACTTTATAACTATATACAGGATATGGATGTATATACGTAGTAAAACGAGAGGGAGAAAGCGCAGGTTTTACTTTGTTGCCCTCTAGCGGACATTAATGGGATCAACTGAAAAACTGCTCTTCAGGAGCGCTGGTATTCTTCATGTAGATTAAGACATTAGAGTTGATTGTTAGAGTTAGAGTTGTTATTAGTGGTTATGAGGCCATGTAGTTACAGTATAACATAAGCACAGTAAAGGAGACCGATTCATTAACGAGTCTAATATATTGTATTTATTTCAAAATACTTCCTATGCAGTTATTCAACTAAGCATTGCGAGGATTTAGCTTACAATCACTAGCTTGGCTTCTTTTAGCATTATTTTATTTTGCAGACCCTAACAAATAATGATACAAAAGTACACGAATATTTTAGCTTTAAATTAAAGGTACACTTGTGCTGTACAGGCGAAATAAAAATATTAATTCACGTTAGGGTTCTGCCAAATGATGAAAAAAAAAACCAACCCACAAATAACTTAGCTTAGACATGGGGGGGAGTAAGGGGGTTGAGGCTCACAAAGCAGACAAAATATACAAAAGTAAAATACTTCCAACTGTCCACAACATGGACGAGACGTATTTACATTTCAAATAGAGAATCAAAAAGTGGCAGAGGTAGCAAAACGATTCCAGTTGTTGTACTGTGGTGAAGACAAACGCGTGACTAAACTTAAATGATCAAAATCCAGTCATCCAGGGTTTTGTAGTTATGGACAGAGAACGTGCAAACAACAAAAACTCTACCTCTGCTGCCACCGTGTGGACACTAACTGACAGCACATGCTGTATGGATGAGAAAATGCCAAAATTCTTTGGCCATGAAGATGCTGATTATGTTCAGAGGAGGAGAAAATCTGTCGGCACTGCTGTTACCTTCTGACTACAAACACATGAGATTAACAACTGACAGAATAAGTAAAGACAAAGCTAAGCTAAGCTTCTTGATACCTGCTGGTGTTTGCCCCAGTGCTCGCTAGTTAAGGTCTCAGTTTTTCAGGTTTTAACCCAAATGGGGATTAAAACATGAAGAAGCAAACCTGAGGAAGGAACATAACAGAGTTCGTGAACCTTTAAATCTTCACCAAACAAAATACTGCTGACACAACTTTTACATTTCCAAAAGGAAATAAAACAACATTCTTACTTCCACAGCTTTGCAACAGTCCTTGAAATTGGTCTTTTGAAAGGCTCCACATAAAACAGCATGCTCCAGGTCTCAGAACCTGGAGAACGGAGAAATCTAGAAAAGGAAATGCAAAATTCTGGCAGACATCAAAACTCTTCATGGTCCAACTTTCTTTTTTTTTTCTCATTTACCGTTGAATCAAGGCACCGTGGCAGCAACAAGGTAACTTAGAAATCCTTTCATTTCACCAGAGAGGTGATGTGCTGAAATCCTGAGAGAGAACAGTGGTTGTCTCCAGTGTTCAGACGAAGGCAGTGCTGTGTGTAATACTGTAGGTCAGGAGAGAATCGCAGGAACCCAGGCGATTCCACACAGGCCGTCCACGCTGGCGGAGCGTTTCCTGGCTGCTCTGCGTAGATCTTTGTATTTGTCATCACATAACCTGGACATGGCCTGAAGAGTGAACACAGGAGTAAAATAAAACAATTACACAGCCAGATCATACAGAGATAATTAACATCGTAACTTTTGCCCAAATTGAAGTCCATAAATACATACTGACAAAAATAAAATAAATAAATAAAGGGAAAAAAAGTGTCGAAGACGAATGATGGTTCCCGACCTCAAGTTTCTGGGCCTTGTCCCTGCTGAGCAGCTCGAGTGGTCCACTGAGGTTGTTGGACTCAGAAAGCGACCGCAGGTCAAAGTAATACTTGGCGTAGACACTGGACGGCACGTTGATGTTGAACTGCAGCAGCTCCAGGAAATAACGTTCCAGCTCGTTCCTGAGGAAGATGAGACGCAGTAAAGACAATACTCAAGTGATCGGTTCCTAGAAATAAAGACAGTGGTTGAACGAGGTACTGCAGGAGGATCAGGAGGAAAAAAACACAAACAAAAAGAATCATCATAACATCAAGGCATAATTAATCTTATATCTCCACATAGATAACATCAAGGCATAATTAATCTTATAATATCTCCACATAAATTAATTCATATATTTTATAAATATTTATTACTCCCACAAACATTCATCTGGAATTTATATATATATACATTTAAATCTCCAGCAGTTTTAAATCACCAGACCCTGAACCTTGTAGGTCTGTGGTGCCTTTGACCTTTGACCTACATGTCTTCTACAGTGATGTTCTTCAGGATCTGGCAGTAGTCCACATTCCAGACGGCCTGGTCGTCCCAGACCTTGGAGGCCAGCAGGATGGCGCCCAGAACAATTCTCTTCCAGTTTCCTGGACAGATGTCAATCTCAGCATAGGTCAGCAGTCTCTCCACGTAGACCTGCAGGACAACAGGGGTTTAAGAAGACCCTGGAACAACCAATTAGACTGGCTGATTGGCTTTAGTCCTGGTCATTACAAAGAGGCTGAATGAGGCCCAGGAGCCACAGGTTGAAAACCCCTGACCTAGGACAACCTCAAACTATTTTGGTGACCTTCAGATGTATTTTATTCTGAATCTAAAGGATCATCATCATCATCATCATCATCATCATCATCATCATCATCATCATCGTCATCATCGTCATCATCGTCATCATCATCATCAGGGAGTCACCTCACCAGTGTGACGATGGCACACTCAGCGGTGAGCTGAGCAGCGCTGAACAGAGTCCTGACAAAACGATAGATCTGTCGTTTTTCTGGGTCCTGCTGGTCGTAGTCGGGCGGAACTCCCGACTTCTAGGAAAAAGGAACAAAGACGTGGCTAAACTTTAACACAGAGGAGATTAAAAGAATAAACCAATTGTATTTGTAAGTGTGTTTTAGGGTCGCTGACAATAAATAAATAATACAGTTAAGGAAGATAAAATATTCTGATCTTACAGAGAGTGGGTGGAGCTTCTCGTCAAATATATCCAGCAGTATTCCTCCATCGTTGTGTCTGCGAGAAAAACAAACAACGTCAATCACTTCTCTTTATTTTAATGACTGATTAAAAACCCTGGATGTTGAAAACAAAAAAGAAATCCACACCTGTTCTTTATATGGTAGTAAATGGCCAGTGCTACACTGTAGAGAAGGAGTGAAAGTCAGAGCAAAGTTCAATGGACAAGTCCTGTATTCACACTAAATTCACACCACAGGTGTGAACATGAGTATAAATGGTTGTAATTGTGTACAGGGTTCAACCACTCACCACTTGACAGTGTATTTGAGGTTGGGCTGGCTGACGGTGTTGTTGTCCAGAAAGATGGTGGAGCAGGAACTGTACTTCCGACTCAGTCGACCAATCGACACATACACACACACACACACACACACAGAGGTGGGGGTGGAGGGTCAGAGGTTTGATTCCTGATTTTGCTAGTTTGAACTTCAATGTAGCACAAGACAAATAACTACAATAACTATAACTACAACAAAAGTTTTCATCACAAATTTAACGCTGTGAAGTCACATTCGGCTCAGTCACCAACCTAAATAAAATAAAAAAAAAGGGTTCAAACATTTAAGAGGAAAAAGTGCTCTCAGAAGTGACTTACATAGTTGATCATCAGACTCTTTCTCCTGTTGTGCCCTGGAAATGAATGAAAAACAACTTTGTTAATAGAACTTTGTCAAACTTCCACCAGCATCATTGTAGGAAGATAAACAGTTGGTGGAAAGTTGGAATAAATAAGTATTGAACCACATCATCACAAATCTACTCACCATGCTGGGATTTAGTGAGGAATATGGTGCTGGTCCTGGGGTGGTCCGATGGATTGAACTCCATAGTGAGCTCTGTCAAAAACACAAAACCTGTGAATACGTGTGTGAATGTGTGTGTGTGTGTGTGTGTGTAGGACCACAGAACAACATTATCTCTGCTTCAGGCTAACAACATTTGGACAGCTGACTCACTTTTAAAGTTCTATAAGAATCTGAATTGATTCGATTCACTGGCTCCGCAGTCTCTACAGGAAATCCCAGAATGCACAGCGGTGGCCGCCAGTGTCAGGTTTGGATATGTGATATTAACAACCTGAAGTAAACTTTAGAAACAGAAGAAGCCTAGCTAACCCATCAGCTGGCAGGCCTCCCTGTCTGCCTACATTATTCATTAACTGCTGATGACTGTGTAGTCGCAGTATTTTCAACACGGCTGTTTCTGTCATCACTTGCTCATGAATTATTGGGGTGAGCTTATTGTTTTTGTAATATAAAAAAGTATTTTCTCTTGTTTCGGTTCAATTAAATGGTTATTTAATGGGCGAAAACAATCTGAAAAATGTGTCAAACAACTTGACCTTTAACCAGCAGAAAAAAACAATCACAAAAAGTATAAAAATAAAATAGATACATAAAATAAAATGAAAAATATCTATATCTAAAAGCAGCAGTGACAACAAACGCATAAACATGTACATAATTATGAGGTAATTTTTCTTTTCCACACTCACTCCATTTACTATTGCCTTAGCCTAACTACTGCACGGTTCAATGTCACTGAGGACCAATTATGCAGAAGAGTACACTGCCTGGAGGAGGAAGGCTGAAGTGAGACAGAGAGACAAAGACATCATATGACCCACCTCTCTTTGACAAAGCTGAAAGTGTTTCCCTCCAGTCAGATGATGCTCTTCATTAGACACAGTATACATTTCACACATATATTTCAATGATTCTGGATACGTTTAAGCGCAAAACTTGTTTTTTTTTTCACAGTGAGTAGTACGTATTCTTTTATATTTTTGGATCATTAAATGTCCAAATAAAGACTTTAACAATGAAAAATGTTACTAACCATCAGCATTTTCTCTGTCGCTGATGTGCTGCAGGTAATAGTCAGTGTCCTCTCTGCTCAGGTCTGACCCCTGGTGGTAAGAGTCCAGTCTAGAGTGAGGGTTTCTGCTTATCTTGGGGCTGACACAAAAGCAGCAGGAGGTCGCGCCCCCCATCTTCTCCTCACTGTAGGCCAAATTTAAAAAAATTAATATGTAGCAGTAATATCCACACACATAAAGGGCTAATGCTAATTGACATCAGGTTGCTGTGTGTTAGCATGCAGCTGCACACTCTGAGTCAGAATCTGTTGAATATTTCTTCGTGAAACCAGTGTCTTTATAAAGATTTTTTTTCCAACCACATTACACTCAACTTTATCTTGTAAAATAATTTTTAATACAACATTTCACAATTGCAAATGATTCCCCCATTTGCTTGGTCACAGACACACCTTTAAAAACTTAAATAAAACCGTTAGCAAGCATCAATATTTACCTTTTTATACCTAAAAATACTCCGTTTTTAGTCCTTCAATCTACACACAGACCCTGAACTAAACACGCGCTTTGTGTAACTGTAACTGTTAAAGGTTTATTAATGTAAGGTATTTCAATATAAAGTTGTCCAACTGTACCTGGAGGCAGGCGGTCCAACTTGGTCACCACCACAGTTTCCACTGAGCCACAGACATTACGAGCGTACACATAGAGCGCATCGTCCTGGATGAAGCCTGTCCGACACAAGTTAAAGTCACTTTAAAGCAGCCTCCCTGAATGTAAACGACGAAGCTTCTCGAACATTACAGTGAAGACACGTCCTGCTCTGAGCGGAGGAGAGCAGTGCGCAGATATGAGGACGTCTTGTTGTGGCTGGATGTCAGGGAGATGCAGCGACATCTGTGGGAGGATGCTTAAATTTCTCCCTTTTGGTTTTGTCACAGTTAACAAACGAGCCATCGGATCAATTACCGCCACCTATATGCTGGAGCGTCACAAGTTTTGTTTTTCTAAATATATTTTTAAAAAATACCAGTATGGTTCTATAAATAATTAACCTGTACTTGTGATTAGAAACACACATTTGTCATATTTTTTTATCAAGTTATTCCTAATGTAACGGCGCGTTAGGCTGCGTTTTGCTGTGTCATGTCTTGCTACGGCAATATAGGAAATTACCGAGTTCCGTGAACATCTAGTGTGGGTCTGTCCGGCAGTAACCTATGGAAATGCGCACTCAAGCTAGCAAGACAGTGATTGGTCTAAAACCAGGAAATAGGTAGGTCCTTTTTCGGTGTGTGTGGGCGTTAGGTTTTGTTGTCCTTTTAACGTATCCTATTGCCCACAGTAGCCTGTCTAAATTAAATTAAATTAAATCAAATCATCATTTAACCGTGATCCAGACCCATAGTGTAATTACTAAGAGACATTTTTATTTTATTAATATTTATTATTTATTGTTTGCACACACCGTCTTTAGATATGCTTTGTTTTGCGTTATTGTTGTTTAAATTGTGTCCTCTCACCAATGCAAACACAGGCGATTATGTGTGTGAGTCTCCCATCTATTAGTTCACTGGTTTAGTTACCATGGTGAATATCTGACCAGCCAATCAAACACAAGTTTGTACACACACACAAACACAGACACACACACATATGTGTGATGGGGGAGGGAAGAGAGAGTGAGAGTGACAGAGGAAAAAAAAAGAAAAGCGAGATACATAATGCCCACAGATATTATGCATTGAGGCGAAGCCCACTGTCTTTCTTCTCGTCTGTAAATGTCTGGTCCTGAGTCTATTTGGTGTCTCTGCTCTGTTAGGTTATTGCCATGGAAACTGAAATTTACTGTCAGGAACAGCACAGTTAAACAGAATAATTGCAGACTGAGTGAGTTGGAGGAAGGCCCGCAGTTAAACTGGGATCTGAAGAGATCGTATGACTAATCTGGAGAACGTAGAGTCGCTCCACGGCCAATTCTCAGCACAGCTGTCCTGAAATATAGTGAATTATTTTACATCAGGAGGGATGCAGGAGCAGCTGTAACACTGGTGTATTAGTGAGGGAACATCAACATAACACCAGCTGGCATGAATCAAGAAAAAAAATTCTAAATTCACTGAAAAGCTGATATCAAACTTTTATTCTGTTACAGAGACGTCACTGGGAGACAGCCATCATTTATAGTCGCTGTTTTATGTATTTACAGTCAGAAAAAACTACATCATTACACTTCAATCATCTACATATGACTCAGCCATCGTTGTACTCCTGGTGGCTTATATATTATGGCACGCTGAAAAAGAAAAAGAAAAAAACTCCCAGCCTCAAATATCAAATACATCTTTTTAAAAAAAAGTCCCTTTGTTATTGTCTGTCCAAGCCGACTGATGCATTAAGAAAGGTTGAAGCTTTACAATGACGGCTACAACATTAAAAACATCTGTACAAGAGAGCAGAGTGCTTTGAGGATGAAGAGATTCATGATTCATTTTAGTTGAACTCCAGCATGGTCACGACAAAGCAAATGCATTTTAACTTTTCAGTCCATTAACAAGAACAAAAATGCAGTCTGAGAGGCCGTATTAGAGAGCGACAGTCTTGTTGTAATGACACAGATTTTGGCTGCAATACAACTTTCCCATAAAGAGGACTCTGATATGACATGATACGAGGTACATGTGTACTAAAAATACTGTCAAATACCCTGTTAAAGATGGATGTGACCACAACCAACAACACTACAGTATGTGCTTGTGATCAACAGGTTAAAAAAGAACATTTTATAAACAACATGTTGGATATAAATGACAATATCACCACAGTGAAGCAACAGCTGTTTTTAAACAGGGAATATTTTCATTAAAATGGTTTCTCTTTAAATATTTAAATTTAAATTTAAATATTGTACACGTACGAACTTTAAATCAGGTAGGATATTATTCATACAGAATTATATCAGCTGTTTGGATATAATTTAACAGGGCTAGAAAAAAAAACCAAACAGCTGAGCTTCACTGAATAAAATCTTTTTAAAAAATTAAAAAAAAAAACCAAACAGCTGAGCTTCACTGACAAATTTTTTTTTAAAAAATTAAGCAGTGTTTAGTAACTGTTCCAAATAAAAACATCCATTGATTTTCACCTTAGTTTCACAGTTAACCCAGTTGATTACCAATGGAACGATACAGAAATAAATACTATATGTCTTTAAAATACATAAATTCGTAGTATATCAACACACTGAACCATATTATTACAGGTTTTAAAAGAAAACTCACCGACTAAATAACGCTCGCTAGTGCAGCTGCTAATATAAAAGGCAACTGCAATTCTCATCGCCAAACAATATATTACCAATATACAGGACATTTAGTCAATTTTATATACACAAATACTGTACATAAAAATCTAAACACTGTGTCCTTACCTTACCAGGACCATTAAGTTGAGTGAGAACATATGCTTAACAATACAAAACAAGCGAGATAAGTATGCTGGCTATGTAGCCTAAACAATACTGTAAAATGTAGAAGAAAAATGGAACAAATCTGAAATTTTAGTGTTTTAAAAATTACAACACAAAAAATAAGATGTCTTCACATTTTGTGAGTGACAAATAAAATTGAATTATTTTTAGGAAGCATAAACTCAAGCAAGCAAAGCAGTGACCTGAACTGCTGACAAAATCTTAATCTTGTTTTTGTGAAACTAAAAAGTTAAGAAGATATATTTAGATATAAGAAGAGTATATTTTTTGTAAAAAGGGATTTACAATAAGAATTCCATGAGCTAATGACAAAGCAGCTGGTACTGAGAAACAGACAGAAATATAAGGAGACATTAAATCTGTAAACATTACTTCTCCTGTAGCCTTAAACCGTGACAAAAAAAAAAATTTTATAAAACAAATTGTTCAGATTAACACACCAAGCTGATATTTGCTGGTGTTTTTTTCTAAAACTAACCCTTTTACCAAGTTGTGCTTCTTCCAAATCCATCCCATTAGAATGACCTTCTCTTTAAACATTGTAAACAACTTACTGATGATTACAGTTGTTTTTTTCACAGTACTACCAGTTGTAATGGAGTACTTCATTACTGCATGAGGATTATGTAATATCTGTGACAAGAACAGTATGAAAAGGAGAAGTGGGTTGTTGGCACATAAAGTGAAATGTGAGACCTCTTTCCCGCACCCACACAGACACACATACATACTTTACACACACACTAGAGTCTGACCGAGTCAGACACAGCTGCAGAAACTCTATTATTAATTTTACAAGGTCATGTGGGTGGGGGTGATGGGAAAACTAATGTTAATAAAGAGTGAGTAATTAACCTAATCCTGCATGTGAACGTGCAACTCAGCTACAGAAGGACTACGACCACAGGGGATCGAACCTCTTTTACTGCACGGCAATTTCTCTTTCATTTTTCTAAATAAATGAACAAAAACCATATGAATACAGACTTAGATGAGAACCAGCAACATGATGACAGTCATGGGTGAGAACACGTGTTCTCTGTCTGTACACAGTTATTATGTACAATAATACAGCAGCCGTCAGTTCAGTTAAACACACCTCTGCTGGTGTTGCAAACTACAACCAACACTGGACTCATTCTGCATGTAGAAAGTGTATTTAACTATAAATATATTATATTAAAAAAGTAACAGCAGGCTCGTTACATCACGTTCATTTCATTAACGAACTAACTCCTGTGCCATCGTTAAGCAGGCTAAACTCTCTTTAAGTGACTGCAATATTTGATCACAGTCCTAATGTAGAAAACTCCTGTTATTACAGATTAGTATAAAAAAGTTACCATTTTTTAAAAATATTTTTTTTAAATTATATTCATGTTAAATTTAATTTTGATGATAATACTTTATGTCATTGGAGATTCAGTATATGTACATTCTTCAGGCAGCTTATGTAGCTTTGGGCTAAGGGGAGCAATTATATATATTTTTTTTTTATAAAATTTGTTTTAAATTATCAAATGGCTTAAATACTGTCTAATTGTGTTCTTCAGTGATTGGATCAGGCTTGGCTGAAGATTTGGCACATATTTATCATCAGGGCAATGATGACAATAATGAACTAAAGCAGTGGTTCCTGGACTTTTTACACCGTGTACCACCTGGGATAATATTTGGCACTCAGAGTACTACCAGTCTGACCATCATCACCTGTGGAGTTAAATATACAAAGAAGAGAATTCACTCGTTCTCTGATAAGAAAATGTGCCTGTTTTTAAGCCAAAGGCTCACATGTAGTACATGAAGTAGTACTTCATCTGGCACTTCAATGTCAAAAATCACATTCCCCGTATACCACTAGCGAGTACCACATGTGGTACATGTACTATAGTTTGTGACTAAGGTACAACCAGCCGAATATTTTATATCAGTGTAACAACAATATCTCAGCCCTAACGTCTACCTCGAAAATTCAATCCCAGTTATTGCACATGGATTTTTGTTAACATTCACATTCAAAATTACCATACTATATATAAATATATATGTATATATATATATATATATATATTTAATGTCATATAAAGTGATATTTAAACCACCAAACACGTGTGTAAATGATCAGCAAGCATTTAAAACACACCTACCAACCACTTGAACTACTGATATAGAAGCCTGGCAAAATGAAGACTTTTAAACACTTTTAAACAAATCTTTTCAAATACTATAATATATCTTGTGCATCTTCTCTACTCAGAATCAGTTCTGTTGTGTCATCAGACAACCACTGAAAATGGAAAAGCTCGACTGGAGACCTAAAGGACAACGGTGTTGTGACAAAAGAAGCTTGTTGAGCTCAGCAGACGCAGCATGGATCATCCACTCATCACACCACACTCTTTGTGCTTAAAGTCAGAGTGGGCTTTCATGTTATTGAACACTGAACCAGCTCTTGGTGCAGGCCACACAGACGGTGGCATATTACAACCCACAGCCCCACAATGGTTCGAGACAACTCTGATTAAAGGTCGAACAGATTACTGAGTAAAAACAAGCCGATACAACTGTGTCTCCATGACGAGATGAGCAGAAGTAGCTGAGAGTGTGATGTCATATTTATGAAATAGTTAGCATTAGGACGTTATCTCATACAGATTCAGGACAGCAGTCATCATTGTAAACCCATACTCACTCGTTCCTGTAGAAGTCCTTCAGTTCTGGGTGAGTTGACCAATCAGCAATAATGTCTTATTCTTCATCTTGTGCCTTCGTCACTTGTTCAATCAATCCTTCAGCTTCAGAAATGTCGTCTGTTTTTCTCTAGCGTACAATATAAAAGTTGATTCCACACATGAAAAGTCACCATTTCTTCTTTGATCGTTTTAAACCCATATACTACACAATATAGTACACGATTAAAATCGTCAATACACCCAGCCTGTTAATAGTAGTGTCTGCACAAGTCTGCAGTTTTTCCACCAACAGGACACTGGAACCATGTTGGACCATTCAGTGTATTTCACAAGGATCTGACTTCTACCTAGCCTGCTAGTCATGCTGAAATTTGACTTGATTTTACTGAATTTTATTTGTGGGTTTTTTTTATGAAATCAACCCTTTTTGGCCCTACTTTACCATCATGCGTACAGATTTCTGGTAATTAAATTTTTTTTTTTGCCCAGACAGAATTTTTCCACTCTTTCTAGCATTAGATTTAGTGGAAAAAATTCATCACAGTGGGTGTCATTCTCTAGAGTCATACCCGAGACTAGGAGGAGGGGTGCGTGTCAGAATAGGGCGGGGTAAGGTCGGAGGAGGGGTCGGGCTGGGACGCCTCATCAGCCCCTGCATTGGCATGTTGGCACGGCTGGGGTGAATGGGGTGTATAGGGTTTTCTTGAAAACTTCTGAGGTGTTCATGGAAAGAGTTGCTGCTCTCCTGGTCCACGTGGGTGCTGACGTCACAGACACGGTGGTTGTTGCGGAGGTCTGGGGTAGGCCCTCGATCGGGGACATGGATTATGTTGGAGGTATTCTTCCTCCTGAGGGTGGATTCCCGGCTGGACGAGGCCACCGACTGGCAGTCTGAGCCTGTGTCACTGGCTGCAGCACTGACCTCTACTGGGGTCACCCTGATGGTAGTGATGGCCTGAGGGTGTGGGTGAAAAGGAGGTGCGTAGGTAGTATTGGGCATAAACGGCAGGTTGGCAGAATTAGGGTTGAAGTTGGACGGGGCGTTGTTGAAGTTGGGGTTATTGGGGTCGTTGGGATTAAATTCGGAGTGCTGGAAGTTGTTGGAGTTGTTTGGATGTAAAGGATGAACCGGATGTAAAGCATGTGGGTGGTTTGTGTATAAAGCTCCTCCTCTTCCTCCGCCCATATCTCCAACACCTTCATTCTCACTTTCAGTCCCCATCACACTCCTCTGTCCGTCCACTGACCCTCCGTCCTTCAGCGAATCACAGCTGTCCGTGTGCCTGTTTAGGTCGTTGAGAGGAAAAGATGACTGTCGGAGCGACGCCCGTTCTGATGGTTTCCATCGCCAGGAGCCGCTGCCGTCGGTGGCCGGAGGTTTTACTATGGGTTTGTGTGACCTGTTCTCTGGGTGGGCTTCAACACGGACTATACTGCCACTTCTTTCCAAACCTCCACCTACAAAACAAGATTGAAGAATAATAATTAATGAATAATAAATGTTAAGTTTGTTGTGTACGTGTGTGACGTTAGGCTCAGCTCACACAAACCTCCTCCTATCGCCCCTGTGGTGGAGGCAGGAGGCGATGGGTCCTGGTCCATCAGGGCTCGGTATCTGATCGATCCTGAGCAGCTGACGGTGCTGCCACCATCTTCTGACCGGGGGGAGTGAATCAAACCCTGATGTTTTGATAGGGTTATCACCTGTATGACCAGTCAGGACACAGCGTAATGTGAAACATTATTAAGTTAATACTTTGTATAAAACTAACTGTTTTGGTAGGCTGGATACAGAGCAACTGAAAGGCTGCATGCACGTAAACATGTTGCATAAATACTCGGTTCTTAGTCACCTGCATCAGACGAGGTTGTCCTCCAGCACTGAGTGGTCTGCAGGGGAGGGTGGTCTTCTCAGCCACTCTCAGCCACTTCTCCCTGACCGAGCCTCCACCGTCCAGGACGCTGTCCTCTGATTCACTCTCCTGATCTTTGCAGGTGAAATTCTCCTCCTCAGGAATATGAACCAGCTGGGAGGACCCAGGCCGGGATTGGATAGACACTCTAGCCCCGCTGACCAATCCCGCGTTGCCATTATGAACCAGGTTATTGTGATTGGCCATTGGGACTGAGCTGGCTGCGAGTTTCACGTAGTGGGCTGGGATATAGGCCCCAGGACGAAACTCAGCTTCTTGGGCAGATACTGAAGGCAGGTGGGTTCCACCACGGAGCTCCACCTCCAGGCCCATGGCAGATGGTTCTGAGGAGCAGCGTAGCTCCATGTTTCTCTGCGGTGAGGACAAAGACTGAGGTCTTATTCCATCCATGGCCTGTAAGGACAGCTTCCTGTTCTCATTCTTATTCTTCCACTGGCTGAGGAGCTGCTTGGATCGGGTGGAGTCCATTGAAGCGTGGATGGCAGCATGGCGTCGAAGCATGCGTCCTTCTTCCATCATGGAGCCACCATGGGACCTGAAAGAAGCAGAGAAAAACGAAAACATTTGCGGTCACTAACTTTACAGCCAGGTTATGTCTATTTCTTTTTAATTAAAAAAATCTACAGAAGCTACTTTTTCGATCTAGCGGCCGAACCAGATCTACAACAGTCACCTTGGCAGCGTGCTGCTGCTGAACGTCACCATGTTGTCTTGGTTGCCTGGAGGACTGGATGGAATCATCACCTCCACCTCAGCACTGGCTCTCTTCAAATTAGACAAAGAGGGCTCTCGATATGAGGCGCTGCGCTTGAGGATGGGTCCCGTTGGGTCAGGGGACAGCGTGTGGGAGGAGGTCCTTGTGATGATGGGCTCTGTTTGGCTAGGAACCAAAGTGTGGTGACCTGTAAGAGGAACGAAAAGCAACAAGGACGAGTTGTTATAGTCTACAAAAGAGACATTTTCAGTCCTGCTGATGAGCATTAAGTTTATCATTAAAAAGATCTATTTTGTGATTAACTCAGGACAGCATTGTACCTTGGTGACTGTTGCTCATTGTCGTTTGGCTGATGTTGGGCAGTGAAGATATGGGGGGCTCTCTCAGGATGGGGGGAGATGGTTTTCTTCTGGATCGATCTTCACTTGGCTGGAAATTCCCCACTGCGTATATACTCTGCACACAAAGAAGAAAAAATACAATTGAAACTGGGACCCCTGAAAGAAATTTTGAAACGCTTGCCACAATATAAACTCAAATCTGTTTTATATTTTAAGTTTTGCACTGAATGACACACGTCTATGACTGTAGAACTGGATGGTCATTACCAGGTAGACAGCGATGGCAGCTCCCAGCAGCCATCCACAGTAGACATCAACAGGGTGGTTCCTGAACTGGATGATCCGGGTCAGTCCAGCCAGGATGGCCAGCATGATGAAGGAGAACACCAGCAGAGGCTTCAGCAACTTAGCAGAGTCTGTCAGCACTGTGTTGAAGTACATCTGAAAGACACGGCATTTAATGTCAGCACCTCGATCCTGAGAAACATTTTACACCGTACATGTGTTCGTGTGTGTGTGCACGTTAGCCACTCACTGAGATGTAGACTGCAGCAAAGGCAGCCAAAGTTGCATGCTGGGAGGGAAATGACTTCCTGCACAAGAAAGGACAGAGTGTTCGTTACTCTAATTATCATGTGTTGACAGACAGTTAAGGTCAGTGATGATTGTCATTGGTGATAAAACAAACACAAAGTTCAGTTCAGTAAAATGACATTGGTAAGTTTGACAACAGAGCCGTCATCCTAACAGTGAATGTCAACCCTGGAGATCAGTCATTTTTTATTATTCATTTATGTAACCAGGTTAATTCTTGATTGGATAATTATAATTAGTAAAGCAGTGTATCAAAAACAAAGATGAAAACAAAATCACTCACAACAACGAAAGCTTACAAAAGTAGACCAAGGATGTTAATGTTTTACAGACAAAACAGTGAAAACTTTGAAGTATATTTTTTTAAATCCAGTAAAGAAATACCTTTAAAGATTCAACTTGTGAGACAAAGATAACAGTGTTAATATAGATCTTAGCGTTAATCTGATCTTTGCACACAGAGATAAGACTTTAACCTGCTGGTTAAGATGACTCTTCACTACAGTGAAAAGGAAGGAAATAATAGTGAAAGAGCAAATTCTACTGGGTCACAGCAGTGCCATGTAAACATTTACACTCTAAGTCTAACGACCATTAGCATATGTCTGATCTATTATTGATAAGAACCACGTCAGGAGGACGAGGAGGAGGAGGAGGAGGAGGAGGAGGAGGCTCAGCCCTGATCTAGATATTCAGATTCCTTCACACGGTCCACACATACAGAGGGAGTTGTTGTTAGACGAGATGACTGGAGATAATGGTTGGTCACGTGGGAGTTGAATTAGAGTTTATTAATAACACACAGTCAAATCTGGTAGGAGCTCTGGTTAATGCAAGATTACAAACCAACACTAGTTTTACCATGTTATATACTGCGATGTTAGAATGTATATTTTTATTTTAAAATATACGTCAACTTTATAATATGCATACAAAGCATCAATGTATTATTCACAAGACATATTTAAAAGGCTGGAGGCTGTATTTACTGCCAAAGTTTTATTGCAGTATTGAGAAAGGCTTTAAATACTGCACATGTAGAATTTCTGGGGGGAAAAAAGTTTATTTACTGTATTTGTACTGCCTTCTTGCCAAGTGTATGACACTGGTGTTAATGTTTGTAAAGTCCTAGTTTTAGGAATCGTCCAGAGAGCAGGCTGGTAACCATAACAACAGTAAAAGGAAAAAAGGAAAAAGCCCATCGTTGTGGGTTTTCTGTGTTTTTCTACAAATAGACATCCCAGAGAGACTAAACTGTCTAATTTGTAGTACAATTCTCTCAGGTGTTTTTTCCAATTCACAGATTTCAGCTCCAGACCTTTAACATTTCATGTTGTTCCAATAATGACACGGCCAATGGTAAACAAACACTTCTTTTCCAGCTCACAAACGAGAAAATAGTGCAGCGTCAACACATTTATTGCGTTGTGAAGTTTCGGTTCCTCAACTTCATGTCAATTTCAGGTCATAACTGGGCAGGATTTTGATTGGTCTAAAGTGGACAGGTCTTAGTTTTGTACCATTTAAAAGGCTTTTCTTGAACTTATTCAATTTTTTTTCTTACACTTATTCTTATGCAATATTTTGTTAAAACATGATCCACAATGTCTCATGATTGATAAGCAGTGGAGGAGCTTTACCTTCCAGCAGTGATGAGTCCAGCATCTTGTCCAGAGCAGATGTCCTCTAGAATAAAAGCCTCGTCACAACTGGACATGTTGATGTGGGTCAGGTTGGGTTTGCACACGTCCAGCCAGTAGGGGGTGTGTTGTCCAGTGGACAGCTGGAGAATGTCAGTTATCAGTGCCGTCACACACAAGCCAAAGACATGGACACCTTCAAAAGAACAAAGTGATAAAAACCACTGTTAAACCTGGGGGTTTATACAAAGAAATATAGAAAGTGTTTCACATTCTGGTGAATCTGGTTCTGTAATTTGATTTCAATAGAAAAGTCTCTTGTTGTTGTTTCAGCACCAGCACCACCACAGGGAGAGTGACGCCACCAGTGTAACCGTTAAATGTTGGCTCTTGTCAAAATGATTTAAATTCTCCCGCTGTCCATGAAGGTGTCGTGACAAAGAGGTCACGGCTGTCAGTAGTTATAAGGTTTGAGCTGATGGCCGTCAGTCTACTGTACTGTTTGTACTTGTTGTATTTCTTTCCCTTCAGTCTCCCCATTTTACTGCGTTGTGTGATGAAAACACCACAAAGTTGTTGTTGTTCCTCACAGTACAAGCGAAGGTCACAAAACGCTGTGCCATTAAACAGGAAGAGACCATGTGACCAGACCACATTAGACACACTTTCACACAGACCGTGGTCATTGTCGGTGCTTAATTCTGTCTCATAATAACACGACGACTGGTGAGGACGGATTATGACAGACTCTGTCGTCTGAACTCACCTATGAAGCGCACAGCCCTGCGAATGTAGGAGTTAAAATTACAGCCTGCTGCATTGATGTTGGCCTCAGTCTGTGCGGCTGACCTCCTGGACAGATAGCAGTAGAGAATAGCCTCTCCAATCAGAATCTGCACACACACAGAGGAAACACAAAACATAAAATGTTTTAATTTCAATCTCTCCTGCCACTGGATCAGATAAACAACTTCAGAGGAATAAACAGTCACTGGTTTCATTCCCATGCAGGTCACACAGGTCCAAAGTGAACACAGAGGTGAACCCTGAGTCATGGTCACTTGGACTGAGAATGAATGAATTAGCTCCATCAGGCAGCTGTGAGACTTGTTACAGTGCGATGTTTGGTTTGGAGACCGGGTTAGTGTCTAAAAGACAAAGGTCAGAGGTGGAGGTGTTGAAAAAGGTGAGGATGGTGAGTTTGAGAAGATTTGGACATGTACTGACAGGACGTAGTGGAGATGTTGGACGAAGGATGTTAGATATGGAACTGCTGACAAGAGGCAAGAAAGTATCAGTACTTTGTTAGTGCAAGAAAAAACACATTGATGTGAATCTTATTCCAGATTTGTATTTTGTTTACATTTGAACACCCTGTGACTTACAGTGACGGTGGGAGCAGCAAAGGCCAAACTGAAGAGCAGAGGTAGTGGACAGACTTCCTGTCTGGGCAGAATGTAGGGCAGAGACAAGCTCCTATCATTACAGCTGTACCCAGAATGCACAGGTTGGAAAATATCCGTCAGTTCTAAAAAGTATAGACTGACAACAGAGGAGGCCAGGATAGGGAGCTGCATAGGAGACAAGAGAACAACAGAAATATTAATGTTAAAAATATGAAATGTTTTCATCAGCCACCACAACACCACCTCCTACTGGCATATCCCATGACCTGACGTTATGTCTAGATGAAGAAAGTCAAAGCCAAGATTGAACCTGGACGTTTGTCAGTGGTCAGTGGTCAGTAGTTCACTTTGTGACTTCATCATTGCTTTTATGTCAATATGTTAATCCAAATCTTTGATTTTACAGTAAATCTGTGACAAATTTGACCAAGAAGATGGGTAAATAGGAGGTTGAATTAATGGTAACATCCCCCCCCCACTACCCTCCAGTCTTCTCTTGATACACCTCTGTGATGTGCTAATGTGAATCCAATCAGCAGCAGCGTGTAGTGAGCAAATTCCATCACACTGTCACCATCCACTGATCATTCCCTCTGTATGAAAACACATACATGGGAAGATCGCTTGTGGTATGAAAACTTATTGACTACTCCCTGTGGACACAGGATATGAAGCTGCAGTAAAAAAAAACGTTTTTCTCCTTTCTACGTCTCTACCCCCAAACACTGACATATAAATACATCCCATTCAGAGGGCTATGTTGCCTAGCAGCCAGTCAGCGGGATGGTGTGATCTTGCATGAGACAAAAGAAAATTCTTCCTGACAGAGAGCAGCTCTGTCAGGAGGATAAAACTGAAACCAGTAGTACTTACAGTACGGTTATTACTATGTTTTTGGGAGTACCACCACGATCTTGTAGCTGTGCTACACAATCAAACCTTACTGTGCTCACATACAGGGCCAAATCCAAAGATAACATGTAAACAAAGACACCGTGTGCTGTTTTTTGATGTTGAGTTTATATTACACATTGTGTTCTGGTTTTGTGAGACCCTTACCGATCGTCTCTATCGCTGTTGGTCAGAGCAGACTAAGCCACCTACATATCATGTGCTTGTGAAACCAAAAAAAATGCAGTGAAAACTGCAGTGTCGCTGGCAGCGCAAACAGAGTGACGAGAGAGAGAATAAAGAGCCCCAATGTTGCTGCTCTTCAGCTGCGTGTGTGTGTGTGTGAGTGTGTCTGTCTCAGTGTAACGACTACAGAACATGGTCCACACTGTGCCCAGGTGTGAGATGTGAGTGTGGAGGATGGATTAACTGAATCTGACTGTGGTGAAGGCCAAAGACAGCAAGAGAGAGGGGTAGGAAAAGAGAGGGCGGCAGAGCAGGAGAGATAGAGAGCGGTGCTAAACACATGGCTGGGGGGCATCTGGTATGACACTAACCCATTTGTACCGTTCTCAGTAAAATACCTATAAAATATGAAGCATTCACAAGGCCACACAGCCTGATTTTCCAGTCCATTGCCAATGTGTGATGTCAGTCATCTTGCAGTCAGTCTCCCAGATGACAGTCAGTCGACCAGGTCAGTCAAACAGCCAGTCAGTTGGTCAACAGGTCAGCTGCTCAACCCTACAATTCTGCCAATCATTCTATCAATCTACAACCGTAATGAACATTGGTTGAATTAATAGGTTTCTTAAGTCACAGATGAAAATAGACAGAAAGCTTGATAGACAGATAGACAGACAGACAGAGAGACAGACAGACAGACAGATAGACAGATAGACAGACAGACAGATAGACAGACAGACAGACAGACAGACAGACAGAGAGACTCAGACTCATGACAGACAGAGAGACAGACAGACAGACAGACAGACAGATAGATAGACAGAGAGACAGACAGATAGAAAGATAGATAGACTGATGACAGACAGACAGACAAATAGATAATCACCTCTACAAAATAAAAGCACGGCAGTAGAGTGACGCTGTCCTTGGTATCTTTCCCACTTTTCAGCCGCTCCTTGGCTCGGGACATGACAGGTGCCCGCTGGTCTCTCCCGTTACCGGGAGACAGGGAGCTGTACTTGATTCCCGTCGTAATTTTGGCGTAATTCTGACTCTGTCTGCTTCTCTCGAAAACACCCTAACGGCGATGTTCCATTTGCCCGCTGAGCTCAGCTCTACGTGCTGATAAAAATGGTGAGGACTGATCCCTCCGTCTAAACCTCAAGCCTCGTATTATGTTTTATTTTGGGGGTCCAGGCAGTTTACAGATAACGCAGTTACCTCGAAATTGCTCAACTCCCCCGGTTGCTGCTCGCCAGCAGCAGCAGCAGGTGACGCTGTCAAGCTAATATGTATATATATATAACTGTTTTCCGGTCAGGACTTTCAAAATAAAAAAACACAAATAATCGTCACAATCGTTTCGTGCTGCCACTATCTTTATTTAAAAATATGTTTTCTCAGTATTACAGTCCAGTCCTTACGGAGAATGTATTACTAAGACACTGGCTTCGTTTTGTTTTGAAGGTGCCATTGTGCCACCAATATTACAGTAATCCGGTTTAACCAGAGATGTGTTTGCAAACTTGACCCACATCAGCAGGTGCCAAGGGGGAAAATATAGAGAAGAGGCAAATTGTAGAGGTCTCACTCTACATGCATTTCATACCAGAATAGCTTACAACTATCATACACTTAACAAGTAATAAAAAAATGTAATAATAATAATAAGACTAAGGAGACTGACCTGTGGTCTGATCCTCATAATGTCTTCATTGTACTTAGAACCTGCTCCTCTCCTGTGCCACTGTATCATGAGTGTTTTCTCATCTCTCTTGTTACTTATAGATCCTGGGTCAGGAAACCGTGCCAGTCCAATGGGGGATAATGTTCTCTCAAAGTCACTCCCCCTCCAGCTCAATAAAACCAAGCAAATAAGGCCACTGCTGCTTTTTTGCTGATGAAACCACTAGTACAGTATATAAAGAATTAAAAATACCTTCTTTCCTTTTAGATATTTGGTGTACCATATACACAAAATCATAATTCTTGTAAATACAATTATGCTGTATATGAACGTTGCAATTACTCCCCCGAAACAGCAGGCGGCAGTATGCGCTTTCCTTTTAGCCCCAAAAACAACAGAGGAAAAGTCTGCCAGTGGTTAGCAGAGAGCTAGGTGAGCTAGCATGTGAAAATGTAAACATGGACTCGTTGCTTGTAGTATCGACTCTGAGAATTTGTAGTCTAATAAACAAACCACTGTTCTGACAGTATTATATATATATATATTTAAATACTGTCCAACAGAAACGCACGTCGCGGCGAGACAGAGACATTAATGATGGATAAGACTTTCAGTCAGTGGAAACAGCAGTGTCTGAGTAAAGTTGACTTGAGTAAAAAAGGCAGCGTGGACCAAGATATTGAACATATCGTTACTTTGCTGAACGGCTTGGAACAGTTCTTCACAACCAGCTCCTGCTCTGGAAGAATCATCATCATCGACACTGCAGTGAGTTTACTCTCTGCACTGCAGAAAGTCAAATATATATATACTGTTTACATGCACTGCAGAAAGTCAAATATATATATATATACTGTTTACACAGTACTGTCTGTAGCATGTGATTCGTCCAAATGACAAAACACATTTTGCCTCAATGAAGTTTTGAGTTTGTACATTTTTTTATATCAATGTCCAGGCTCCAGGGGACAGTGATGTGCAGAAACAGAATTGTATATGGTTGTTTGTCTCACACCAAAAGTGCACAGCAGATGACCTGGTGAGCTGTGGTTGTATTTATGTGCATTTAACAATCCAAATAATAGTAATGATGCTGATGATTTTGTGTAAACATGAGTGGTCTGTGTCTTTTGTTCTACAGGTTTCTGCTCTTGACAGGTCCAGCAAAGATGCTGTGCTGAAGTTTGAGCCCTTTGTTCTCCATGTTCAGTGCAGGAAGTTGGAAGATGCTCAGCTGGTGGTGAGAAATCGATTCATTGGATTTTATTTGATGAATGCACAAGGAGTCAATACAACAAAAATAATATTTTTAATTAAAAAAAAAACTTTTGCCTTACAGTATTTATTTCTTTGTCCTCCAGCATTCAGTGGCCATCAACTCCGGCTTTAGAAACTCTGGTCTGACGGTCGGCAAAACAGGAAAGATAATCATGGTATGATATTTCATTTTCTTCTGTTTTGTTAAAAAAACATTGTTTCTGTTGTATAATCCATAAGCATGTCACATTTATTTCAAATGAACATTCATGAACTACATATTATCCTGAAGATCACGGGTAACTGTGTATTTAGATCAGGAGTTTTGTTTTTCGCTGTCAGAGTTCAGTTTCAGGAATGTGCACATTAAAACGAGTGTCCATTCTCCTTGAGCTGCGGAGGCCTCGTCATTAAAACGAGTGTCCATTCTCCTTGAACTGCGGAGGCCTTAGAAGCTGGATCTGCTGTGTTGTTGCAAAAGTTTCTACTAAGGCTCTCTACTCTCTATCTAATTATTATTACTGTTCTTTTTGCCTCCCAGGCCGTTCGTAGCACTCATGGCCTGGAGGTTCCTCTGAGCCATGAGGGAAAGCTTCTGGTTGGACAAGACTACCTCCATTTCCTAGCTCAGCTAGCCAATCAGAAGATGGAAGAAAACCTAAGAAGGATCAACAGGTTAGTCTGATTGTGATCTCTGTGTTTATTTAGTTTGGTTATTTCACAGTCATCTCCTTTCTGTTCAACACCTTATAAACATGACATCCTGGTGATTTGTTACACAGCAACAAAGTGTCATTCTTATTGTTCTGGGGTTTTTGTGTTTTGATTTTGCTCCTTCCAGATTCTACCAGAACCTTCAGTCAGCTCTCACCACAGAGAAACTACAACTCCAAGATCCTCCTGACACCCAGGAACCACAGCACACCATTGGACAACAGGGTACAACAAAAGAAGAGCTGAGCAAAACGGGTGTTTACAAAAGGAGGCGCAGGAGAGACCATCCACAGGCTGACTGTTGTGATGGTGATGGGGATAGTGACGTCCAAGAGCTGTATGGACCTCTGGATCTATTGATATTAGGTGGAGGTGATGGTGGAACATCATCTCCTCCTGTGTGACGTTTGTGAATACTTAAAAGTTCTTCAGTTGTTTTTGAATACAAATTATTGCAAAGTAGAACTACATATTAACACATGACAACGATATATAATGTCCAATGACTAGACAAAAATGCCATCATCTCCTCAGGATCTCTATGCAAACAAAGCTACTCCCTAATAAGTTGGAAAATAAAATATTTTATACTGTGCCTAATTTGTTTGTTCACAAATTAAATTCTTCCGTGAATGGAGTGTTGCAATGTCGCCACTAGAGGGTAGTACGGACTTACAAATTAGAGGGAGTGACTGATGCGCAGAATAAAATGGAAGAACTACTTACAAAACTTAGTATGATATCAATAATACATACATTATGTAAAATGTTTTAGGCTTTTAGATGTTTTAGTGTTAATGGAAGAACTTCTAGGCTGCTACTCTCTTAAAAGGATTGACAACTAAAAACTTTACTCTGTGATGAAGTTTTGATCAGACATAACCACGAGGTTTCTGAATTCCGTTTGTCAATATTATAGGTATATATTAGAAATGTTCACGTGATCTTTATCAGTTCCACTTGCCCCGTCTGATTGGCCGACAAGGCTGTCAATCAAACTCAGACGCTCTCCATCAACTCTACCGGGGAGATGTGACCCAGGCAGCAGGCGGCTCACAATCCGGTGAGTTCACAGAATAATACTTTATTTAGTTTTTAATATTCGTTATATCGTCAATTAACCTTAAATTTAAATTGCCTAAAATTAGCCGTACGTGGATATGGGCATTAAAACTATATTACTATTTTAATTGTAAAATGTTGGGGGAAAACGAGATGCCGATGCATTAGGACAATTAAGAGTTTTTAATTAAAGTCGCATATTTTATTTTAGCGATTTTTTGATGGACTTGGGTTTTTTTTTTTTTTTTTTTCAATTTTAACTGTCAATAACAAATGATACCAAAAGTCCTAAACTCACTGTACAGCACTGGAGGATCACTGAAATGTAATTTCATCCCGGCACTGCAAAGCACTTTTATACTTAAAATACTACAAAAGATGTTTCCCTCAGAAACTAAAATGTGTTTATTCTATGGCGTTATTGTCATAGCTTTTTCCGTGTCAGACATTAAGCATGCTGATGAAGCTGCAGGCAGACAGATGGTTTACAGAGATTAACAAACTCATGAGCAGATTAGCACAGTTAAGCGAATACTTCACTCGCTGCTCATTTGATTTACTTGCGGACAGTGTCACTGCAAATTAAGAAACTCTTTGTGTAAAGATTACAGACTGGTTAACTGTCCTGTCAGGGTGAACGCTGTGTCTGTCTTCACTCTCCAAGTAGCAATAAAAGGTGGTTATTGCACAGTAATGTAATATACTCAGAGAAAATATCTCCTTTAATGCTGAACCTGTACATATGGCTCTTTTTGCAGCTCTGCGTTCCACCGAGGACGATTTGACCAAAAACCGGCTGAGTTGGGAGAACACCGTGTTTCTTCTGCAGCAGTGGATCACCAGATGTTACACCAACACCATGGTCTGAAGATTTATAATGACTGTGCAAAGTGTGTTTCTACTATGAATTCACAACAGGTAATACTGTATGACTGCACAATAAGTTATAATAAGTCCAGTTTTGTCAGTACAATACAACACAAAAACATAGTCACTGATTGTATTTTTTTAATGTTTTCCCAGATTTTCTCAGTTACCTTACTGTGTATCTGTATTAAGGACCCACATTTTTTCTATTTTTAGGCCTCACGTGACCTGCCCTCCATGTGGGTATCTTCACTGTCAGCCAGTGAAGTTGAAGAGTTACTTGGTAGTCCCACAGTGCATCACCAAAGAAACTATCAAAGGTACTATCAGAACCCCACCATTAAGGGACAGCACTGGAGAAACACATGTCACAGTGGCCATACAGCTGTTGATCATAAGGAATGCTGTGTCAACCATTTGCTCAGTAATGATGTGACAGGGGCAGGCTTCCACAGCAGGGTAAACTGGTACGATGGAGTGCAGAAAGAGAATCACTGGGGTCACCAAGGAAATGCTGACTCCAGACAGGAAAAGAGATTTGACCACAGCACACTCAAACATAACATGTGCAGCTTGTATAAGATGAGAAAATGTCAGGGTTTTCAGGAAAGTCATCCTTTTAGCCATGCCAGCACCAACATCAATTATAGAAACAGCAGCAGATATGAAGGCCACTCCAGTGCCTGTTGTCCTCCTCAAACATGTGACCAGGACATGGTGTCAGCCTATCAACGTCAGATCTGCTACACTACGGCCAGTGATAACAATGGTGTTGACGAGGGAAACTTTTATAGTCCAACCTCTGGCCAGTCTGGATTATACATTGACCCTGACTCCTGTGAGAGAAGACCTTCCCCCATCTACGGAGACGACTCTCCTTACACCATTCTCAACACGATGGACAGCGGTGACCCAATCACAGCCATCTTCATGGGCTTCCAGAGAGTCCAGGATGACAGTGGGCTGGGTCAGGAGTTTGATGAAACCCTGAAGCCTGAATTGGTTTTTATTGAAGATGATCCGGAAAATGGTGAGAACAACAGCACCGAGGAAAAGAAAACAGAGCCGATAGACGTTGAGGAATTTGGAGAAAGACAAAGAGAGACAGTAATGGAACCAGATACCAAAAATATTCAGGGGAAATTTAATTTCTTAACAATGTGTTTTTCTTGCCAGAACCATTAGTTTGTGTTGCCCTATGTAAGGTTTCATCCTAACACAACAACTATAATTCATCTAACGAACCACTGGGGGTGACTGAGTAAGAAGACCGATCTTGTTATCAGAGGATTACAGGTTTGATCCCATCTTGGCCAAACACCAATTCTCTTACTCCACAGGTACAATAACAGTAGAGTGGATTATCATTCCCTGGTTCTTGTCGATTAAAATTCTGCTTCTCTAGTAAGTTTATTTGTGACCTTTTGTGACCTTTTCAACATCAAACACATAGAGGACTGCAGCCTGGGGTAGACCTAACTCTAAACCTAACCTTGACCCTAACTAAACCTTGATTTCAACGCTTGCTACTGGATCTGATGGAAGTTATAATGTTTTTAATTATTATATAGATCATAAAGAAAAACACAATGAAACAATATCGTTGTCATTGGATGACAAATAGCACAAGACGGCCGTGATCAGTCAGGGAAGCACAGGCCTCTTGGCTGTTGTCTGCTAGACAACTGCAATGCAGTGCCAGGTTATATAACTGCAGTGTGTACGTGAGTGCATGCATGTGTGTGTGTGTGAGTGTGTGTCAAACTCTCGTCTACAGATTCATACATACAGCGCAACTAAAAAGGTACGTTTATAACAGCAATGTCTGGTCTAACAGACGTTATCAGCCGATTGTGTAAATGGACCATATTACATCACACGTCCAAACACTGCTGATAGGACTGTGTCTACAGTCCAGCAGAGTGTACATGCAAGAAAATCTCATAAACAGACCTAATTTTCGGAGCGATTCAGTGGAAATGCCAAAAGAGTTAAAAAAAATTAAATATTCCATCATTTTATATCAACAGAAATTAAATATTCCATCATTTTATATCACCAGAAAATAAAATAAAAAAAAAAATTACAATGTATTACCATACATCGAAATTGCCCCTTTACTTTAGTTATTACGGTAAAAGTCGTGTTTCGTCATCTCAGGCCCCGCCCCTCAGCTCAACCCCTGCGTGCAGAAAATACAGAGAACATTGAGCGGAACACCCTGCTTCATTGAAGGAACCAAGATAACACTGGACAGGTGAACAAGTTACTGTGTTTTTTGTGTGTGTGTGTCGCAAATACTCAACCGCCATTTCTCTAATACTGTACGGTGTCATTTATCAGTTCCGATAAATGACAGCGTTAGCCGGGAGCTACCAGTTTGGCTGTAGTTTATGGCTCTATCATACTTGCAGGAAAATGAAAACCGACTCTGTAGACTGCCAATAACTGCAGGTTGCTGTCTCTGACCAAAAGTGTTCGTTGTTTCACTCTGTTAGCAGTCGTTGTTGCCCTAGAAAGTGGCGCAAATATTCTCCATTTATTTCTCAGTGTGAACCATTAATCAAGTTTGGTTGTTTAATTCACTACACCGGCACCGCCCACTGCTGAGGAAACTGCCGGTGGTCGATTGTTTACCAAAATTAACTGCGTTATAACAGTCTTTTGCCCTAAGTAAACAACATCAACGGTCGATAAGGTTGTTAACAAAGGATTTTTAAACAACTCTTGCACTTTCTTTCGCAGCAACAGGTGGATTGAATTTTAGCAAGGTAACAAAAATCATCTTTCTGTCTTAAATGGAACGCGGCACGTATCCTTCCCAGGTTTGTGCATCACTATGGCGATCACGTGACGCGATTAACCGTCTGCATCAGTGTGTGTATGACTTTGTGTCCGGATGGAATGGACAGACACTGACCGAAACAGAAGTGGGAAGAGTTTTATAAATAGTATGACATTAACGCCTGGATTCCTGACCTTGTCTTGGTCAGGGTGATGCTGTGCGCATGCTCACAGAAGGCCTTCGTTGGGGTTCAGTGACTTTGGATTCATTGACTCCAACTTGACGTAGAATTTAGACCCAGGCTTTGTAGTAAACTTGACAGTACTTTGGACAGAACATTTAGTATTTTGCCAGCTTGTTGTACCGTAAAGTAACGTGAAGACTGTCAGTAAAACTCACAGCTAACGAGTGGTGAAGGTGATGCCGTGGTGTTTAAATAAAAATATAAAAATAAAAACTTTTGTTTGAATGGAGCATGCTTATAAACTGGATCTCATACTTTTGAGTGCTACTCATACAACAGGCGTGCTGGATACTAAAACAACAATAACATCAAAATGAAAAAATATTTTATTCAGGTATTAGCCAGCACTAAACTTTAAATTACTTTGATTAAAGTGCAGCAGCATATATATATATATATATATATATATATATATATATATATATACACACACACACATTTTGTCAAGTTTTGCAGTGCTCAAAGTTTACAGTGAGCAGACCATTTATTGTTCGGACTGCAACAGATGGGAAGTTGTTTCACAACGTTTGATGCTTACACTCTCGAGGGTTCCTTATGTGGTTTATTTACACATAGATGTGTCTTGTTTGTACAGCTAGCTTCAAAATGTGGAAATCTACCGGTTGGCTGCTTTGTCCGTTGTTTTGTGGCAGCACGATATCACAGCCTATAAACACAAAACACACACACATTTGTCTTTTATTTCTCCCCAACATATCCTTAATTGGTTTCCATTTAATCAGAACAAACCCGATAGTTTTTAGTCAGTAACTGGCGTTGAACTTGCAGCGACCACAATTTAAATTTTTGTGAACACTTGATTCATTCCTCTTAACAGGAGGGCAGGATCTGTGACCTCTGATTCCTTCGTGATGTTACCTCAACACTTGAAACAGATCAGAGTCCTGATGCTCAATGACAAGGAAGAGTTGGAGAAGACGCTGTTCAGGCTGGAGCAAGGTAACGCCCTATCACAATACAACGGGTCAGTCCTATTGGGTGTCGTATATGAGACAGTGACACCTGAAATATGTTTCCCGTGTCCAGTATGTGGTTCCTCAGGGACCATCAGGTGATCTGTCATCAGTGGGATAAAATTAATACATTTAGGTATGGCAGGGTTTACAGTTTCTAAGAATATTAAATCTCACTTTAATTACAGAACATCGGGCACATTTATGGGACGATCAAGGTTAGAGGAAGTAGAGTAAGTCAAAGTTGAGCTGAGTTGAAGTGTGCACCAGTTGACATTTACAGCACACGACCTTTGAGGGACTTCGTTAGTCTACTCTTAACTGTACTATAAATAAAACGAGTAACATTTGACGAGCAGGAAGAAATAATTTGGCTGATGTTACTGTGGCTGTGTGTGTGTGTGTGTGTTTGTGTATCTGTTGGATTGAACATGTAGTATTCCATTGGTATATTTTAAAGTAACAGATCCCTACGTTGCTACAGTATGACTGAGGCAAAGATAGTGACTTTTCTAATACTATATATATTGCAATAGTCTATATTTAAGTGACTTTTCTAATACTATATATATTGTAATAGTCTATATTTAAACCCCCCCAAAATAAACCCCCCAAAATAAACCTCTTGAGGAAGATTTATGGGATTTTTGGGAGGTAATTTTAGATATTCTTTCAATGCTAACACAGGTCAAAAGTTAGCTCAATAGTTCAGTTATTTAGTTAATAACTGTGTAAAACAAACCTTTATTATACTGCATCATTGTTGTTTTTTTGTCCTCAGGGTTTGAGCTACAGTTCCGTTTGGGTACCAGTCTTCAAGGCAGGAGAGTTCTAGTCCACACCAACTACCCCCTGGATGGACAGAGTTATGACCGGCACACCTTTCGTGTTCTGCCCTGGAATTATCCAACGGGAAGGGAGGAAGATTCCGATAAATACTGCTCTGTGGACCTTAAAATAGCCGGGTCCTACCAGTACTTTTTTGGATTTGGGTAAGGTCCTACTGAAACTAGAACAATATTAGCATATAATGTAACATCTGTAAAAAACGTTATCGTTTTTTTTCTGCAATAATGAAAACCTGATAAATCAATCCCTGGGTTGTGCCCTAAAAAAAAGTTTTGTGACAGTCACTAGATGGCAGCATTGCAGTACATTAAATTATTCTCATACTCATACAGTGGTTTGTACAGATAAATAAATAAATACATTTTATTTATCGGTTGATATTTGAATTCTAAATGAAGGGTTTGGACAATATTGGCATATCGAATATGGGCAAACAGTTATTATCGGACATCCCTACGTAAAACTTCCTAAAATATACACGCAAAATATTTTAATTTATTTTTAAAACTTTTTAAGAGCCTATGCGGCATATTACATTGACTCTTCAGTGAGGAATCTCCGATGTCTGGTTGGAAGTG